CCTTCAATAAAATGTTCATTTTTTAAGAAAGTCATGAATTATTTTCCGTTAAATTTTCAGAATCTTCGGGTAAAATTGTGAACTACATTATCTGAAAAATTGGGAGAAAAATATTCATAAGTATACCAGGAAATTCGAGTTTTATTAAAGGAAATTTGGCAACGCCTGAAGGTTCATACGGCGTTTTTCCTTAGCACGGCAGTAGAGGGTTACGTATTATAGCAGTCCCTAAATTAGTATATTTGTGCGTTAGTTCTGGCATCGCAGTGGGGTGTAAAAGTCCAGGTTGCTCCTCCTCGCCCACCAAGTGCGGCTGGTAAGATCAATCATCGGCGATCAGGCGGCTGTTGGTGTCGCTGGCGCTGCGCTCGGCCGCGCGCACTCCATCCATTCCTTATCAGTTGTCCACCAGATAACCTATCAAATCTCTTTGACTAATCACCACTTTCTCCCGGAGCCGGGAACCTCAAGCGCCAGCGCGTGGCGTTCCCGCTAAACATTTGCATTTGAAGTGTAAAAATTATGCAATTTCAAACTTTGCGGTCCGCTAGCCGCAATTTGCATATTGCCAAGACGGTGCATTATGAGAAGAAGAGTTTTGAAATTGCCCCGTGCACATGGCAAGAAAGAATGAAGGATTAATGAGGAAAAGACACGAAAATATGGCCAGAATTCTATAAGTAATAGAATGGTAGAACAGTACGCCGGCCGATTATTGAAATTTATAGACAAAGCTATAGACAAAGAAGACATTGTGAGTGGTTCTTATAGACTAAGGGGGTAAATGATGGACTAACTATCGGGTCTCTCGTGGGTTGCCGTTAGTTAGTCTATTACCTATGTCCTTTGTCCATTGCAACCACCCACTTCCACCGATAGGATCCCTCCATATCCTTTTTGTCTTATTTGTCTATTGCTTTGTCTATCAGTTTCATTTATCAGCCCGCTGGATCCACACCACTCTGAAGGGAATCAAAACCATATCTAATAAGACGAATTTGTTTTTTTCTTTTTTTTTCTTTCTTTTCTTTTTTTTTCTTTTGTGTGTCTTTCTGATTTCTGGGGATTTCTCCTATCAGTGACCACAGACAACACCGTGTTCGAACTTTGATGCCTCGTGTCAAGTGAGACAGATTTTTACTTCGGTTGATCCTTTCTTTCACACCTCCGAACGCAGCGCATCAGTTTTCAGTCGAGTTTTCCCCGGGTGCGACGAACGGCGCTGCGGACGGTAAAAACCATCATTACTGCGTCTCTCTGCATCGTGCAGGTCTATGAAAGCTCGTCACTGATTGGTGGATTCCACCGATGCCAGTCACTGATTGGCGGATTGGACCCGGGAGAGCTGAGTTGCTGCCACCTCGGGGGCACTGCTAACCTAGCGGCCCGTGAAAATGTTGGAAAACTGCTCCTTGAAACCACGTTGCGCTGTTTTCTTGTCCGTAGCACAAAATTAATGCCGTGTTACGTCAAAGAACAGGGAATTTATGTTTTGCGGAAAGTGTGTTAATTGCAAAATATGATTCTACTCGTTTCAAAGAGTAGCATACCCTTTACGTAATAGCCAAAATTGAAGCGGATGATACACGGACTAGAAGAGGTAGTGGTTGTTGAATAGGGGCATTTTCAATTAATTGTGGTACCACTCCCAATTTGTTGAATGATAGGAGCATTTCCAATTCATTGTGGTAGTACGGTCAAGTGTTACGTTACTATCACAATTAATTAGAAATGCCCCTATCATCCAACAAATTGGGGTAGTATACTGTGGTTACATACTGAACCAATCGATATCAATATAATCTCACCTGTGTGATCTGTCGAATACGATCTATAAAAACTATCAAGTAAACGTGCCGGTGGAGGAGCGCTGTATGAGACGCGTTTACTCGTGTTGGCCACATTTTTTGTGAAAGCCCTGTCAACACTAACAAATGTTCAGTTCCGTAAATCCATCCCTGTTTGGACAAGGCCTTCCATTTATAAAAAACGAACCAAAAAATTATGAAAGAACAAACATAAACGTGGTTAATAATTTAACTTCTGCCGCTGTCCGACCGCACTGTGTTGGTGCAATTCGTGAAGTATTCATGCAGTCTTGTAGGCACTATGCACTTCAGGCCGACTGCTGCTGACCGCAGTGTGTTTGACGCAATGCGTGAAGTATTCATGCAGTCTTGTAGGCGCTATGCGTTTCATGCCGACCGCCGCACCGCTCCGTTCCAGGTCATATTGCGTGTTTGGTTTCTCTCTTAACTCGACAAATTAAAGGTGTTGTCTCTTGTATCGCCGATAGGCGACAAAATTAGAAATTACTATACTTCCACTCTCAAGAAATGAGATATTTTGACGCCTTTTCTCGTTTGAAATTTATTTTCTGAATCCGATTTTTCTCTCTCTTTTTTTGATACCTACATTTAAAAATATTGCTAAATTTGCCGCCCCCTACATTTTGCTGCCATGGGCCGCGGCCCATGTGGCCACCCCCTTAATCCAGCCCTGCTATCCAGTGGTACTTATTTAAACTCCGAGTGTAGGTAACTGATCAAAAATTATAAAAGCACTTATAAAACTTTGATTTCGCATACACTTTCTCAGTTTCTAAGTCTTAACCCTCAAAAACGATTGTTAACAATACGCTGTCGGCCCTATTGATTAATCTTTCAAATGCATACACTGAAAAAAAAAAGAATCTTAAATTTGCCGCCAAGAAGTATTTCTTCTTAAATCAAGAATTTTTCTGCTTAGTAAAAGCTACTTTTTTCTTAATCCAAGCATTATTTTTCTTGTATCAAGAAAAAGTCAGCTTAAAGCAAGATTAAAAAAATTCTTGGCGGCAAATTCAAGAATCATCATGTTTGATCCAAGCTACTTTTTTTTCAGTGTAGATTGGCAGCGGCACATTTTTCACGTTGTCGCCTTTTTGGGCCCTAGGAGCCCAAATAAATCGAGTTGTCCTTACTGTCCCTATAAAGGTAGTCTATTTTCAACTACTTGGAACATGCTATTTTTAAGGAGTCTCAGACACCCCTATTGAATTTAAAATGGATGGATCAATGAGGAATAACATGGACTCTCTGTCCATACTTTTCTTATTAAGGTTCTCTACCTGATTTCACGGGTTCAGTACCTGATGGATAACGCTGACAGGACCACTGTGAGCTGAGCAGACAGCGAAGCCGACATTAATACAGTCGTATCTTTTATCACGTAGACACGTCTGACGAGGATTATGATATAATCGCCTTTGAAGCCGACGCTGTTTTCAATAAAGACGCGCCGGGGGCCGTGGGTCAGGACTTTGGCCGAGTGGCCGTAACCCCGGCCCCAAGTCTGACGAGACACGAGTGACGCGGACGCATAGCGCCCGCCGGCTTCGCATACCACCGCCACCGCGCTTAGGAAAAACGTCGTATGAGTCTTCAGACGCTGCTAAACTTCTCCCGACAAATAACGAATTTTTGTGGCAAAATTGTTTGCGTTTTACCTCAAAATTTTTGAAGAATTTTGGTTGTAATACGGTCTGTAGCGTCTAAAAATTTTCAGTAAAAATACTCATAACTTTTCTCAAAAATGAATATTTTATCGGGGGAAATTTGGCAACATTCGAGTGTTTATACGGTGTTTTTCCTCCGCACGGCAGCACACCGTCGTGAGCCGACCAACCCATCTCCTGGAGCTTCTGGCTATTAGAGCGTCCTTCGGGAGAGTGCAGAATTTCTATAAAGTATTTTTCATTGATTTTTAAATGATGCGATAGGGGGGAGGTTTGATTGTAATGCTAAGATAACAGGATCAGTGGAATCCTTGCGGGCACTTTGAAATTTTAAGTTGAGAGACTAAGGCTTATTTCGATGTATTCACAGCTGTAACGGCTCAATACTCCGCTCGAATTATTTCCAACTTGTTTCGATCAGTTCGCTTTCAACATCTCGATAGGCAACGTGAGCTGTTCTAAAGCAGTAATAGCTGCTCCCCGCATTTCGGCCACGTTCACTCGGTTTGTACACAGCTGTAACAGTTTAATACTTCACTTTCACTGTCTCTCGAACACTAAGACCAGTTCGCCTTCAACATCTTGTTATAGGCAATATGAGCGGCTTGGGAACAGTAATAGTTGCTTGCAGCAGTTTTGTCATTTTTTTCATTGTAGTCCGAGAGCCAGACGACTTTGAGTGACAAACTCGGGATACATGTTTTGACCCCCTAAATCGATAGCCTTGCATGCACTGAAACGGAAAATGTTTGTCTGCCGCCCTCTAGCCTGTGCCATCACCCTCATCTAGGCCCTCAAAGTGGTCCAAAAAACACCATCTGGTGACAAACTCCTGACGCTCNTCCCGAGTTTGTCACTCAAAGTCGTCTGGCTCTCGGACTATTGGTTTCAAGCATTCAATGAACCTAGAGGATTACTACATTCACAGAAGGGTTCGCACGGCCTTCTCTAACGCCAAAGGGAGGTTCAGGAAGCGTCCTAGGAACGTTCCTTAAACAAAAAACAAGTGGAATCAATACCAAGAGCAATTGTGAACTGTTCTTACCGAAAAATTGATTGTAATACAATTTCAAAGATGAAATACAAGTCACTCACTCATTTAGCAAAATATACTCAATACTCAAAAGGGGGAAAATGGATTTTTGGGTGCAATCCCTCCCCCCTCCCCCAGACATATAAATTCTGGTTCATCTGAAAAAACACTTAAGTGCATAGGGGAACTAATGGCACTAACGTTTTTTTTTTTTTTTAAATCGGGCCGGAATTATATAGTTCTTAATTGCAAAATGTAGTCTAATTTTTAAACGAGAAAAAAACAGAAAACGTCTAGTGCGACGCGTTGGCAACGTAGAAGTGCATTGCTGCAGAGATTGTTTACTATTGTCGTGCAGCAAATTGCAGCGAGCGGGTGCGGAAATAGTCGTCATCGGCGACGCGCAGCGGAAACGGGACATTTTGAGCTGAAAACGTTTGGGTTTAACGAGATGGTTTTTGTTTGTTGCAGCTAATTCGAGCGAGGATGGCGAGGCGACGAGACACGGGCAGGATTCCAGCTCGAGGAAAAAGATCGAGTTGGTCAAACCAGTCAAGACTTCGCCTGCACCTCTCAACGAGCACGATATACTTTTCTCGGGCGACCAGCTTAAAAGTAAGTCCTCCACCTCGTTGTTTGCCCTTTTTAACCCTGGTCTCGAATATGATGGTCTATAATACTCGAGGCCTCGGCCTCAGAATTAGAAGCCGAAGATAAAGGGGAAAGAGGGGAGGAAAGAAAAAGAAAGAAGGAGGTGATAATGAGAAATCTTTAAGGAGCGAAACATAAGTAATTGAAGCGCTAAAGGGCATTTCTCGGTTGCAGTACCTTGAAATCTTCACTGACGTTTCATTCATTAATATCAAAGCAAATTATGAAATTCGTTGCAATTTTTTTTGAATTTTCTTTATGATTTTACAATGCTGAAACCGACGAATTTTAGAAAATTCGCTCAATAGTTTCCTCTAGTTTTTCGGGCGAACGGCCCCATTTGCCCCCGCCCTTAGATCTGCTTATTGTTCACGTTGAACTCCGAATTTTTTTGCCCAGGTAACCGCAGTTGTCCGACATAGAAACCGAATTTCGGTTCAGCTTACAAAAATTTGAATCCTGTGACCAATAAATCTACTTAAATTTGACACGGAACCACTATTATATCTACATAAAACACATTATATTTTCCAGTAGTACATATTTCTTTTTCATTAGTTTAAAAGGGAATAATCAATGAAGAGAGTGCAAACATTTCAAAATCATGAGTTGAAAAACGCTGACTCCGCGAGTTTAAATATTAGAGCCTAACACTGAGCGGAGCGGCGTGTTAGCAGCGCAGAACGCGCATTGGCGCCTACAAACCTAACGGGATACTTCAAGCATTGCGCAACGCGTGAAGTATCCTGTTAGGTTTGTAGGCGCCCATGCGCGTGTCACGCTGATTGCCTGCCGCGCCGCAACGCTTTAAGCAACTATTTCGCGTCGGAGGCGTTGCACAGTATCCTACAAGATTGAAGGCGCACGAAATAACTAGTCAAAGAGGACTTTCAATTTTGACTGCGTCTGATACTGAAAAACGTTTAATTTGGCATTGGAGCGTTTCCTAGGCTCCCGCTTTGGTTTTCATCTTATCATATCCGTACAGTGTACACATGAACAAATGTTTTTATCTGCTCTTAGAGTCTGTTCTCTTTCATGCCTTGATTCATGAATGAAATGTTTTCAAGAATGAAGGTAGTAGTAGTATGCATTTATTTTTGAGATGGTTCCCGTAATTTAAATGAGAAGAAAAAAATGTGGACATAACATGTCCACAATTTGGACAATTTTGGACATATTCATGGTTGGACATTAAATGGACCGAGTTTAACAGAAAGGAACCAAGCCACATCAGCTATTGCCAAATTTAACAGGGGAATTTGATTTTTTACGAGAGAACTTTTGTGCGGATTCCTTTGAAAATTTTAAGGAATTTTTTTTTAATTATGGAGAAAATTCATAGAAATTTGCACAAAAATCCGCACAACCGTTTTCATGCAAAAAATTAAATTGCCCGATTGAATTTGGCAATAGCTGATGTGGCTTGGTTCCTTTCTGTTTAACGCGGTCCAAATCATGTGGACTTAATAAAGACTGGACTTAACGTTTAGTGGACATACATAGCGGTGGACATTTATTTAATGGACGAAAGGTAGGTGGACATAAAGTCCTGGAAGCGGCAGGCCTGAGCTGAGTCACTACGACCGATTATTTGTTTCTCCGTGAGAGGGTGCTCGTTGAAATTAAGTCAGATTTTTTTCTGGCATGGAAAGTCGATTTGACTCTGATCTTCGCGGGGATTTTCCACATTAATCCGCGGATTACGGGGAGCAAAAGCGAGCTATGCCGGAAGCGAGCGTTTGGCACGGGGACGACACGGCGCGCGGCGGCGCACGCGAGTGGATGTTGGCAGCCGCGGAGGATTGTCGACAGGAGAGCGGATAAATGATTTCTGTGTTAACAATTAATAATTCCGGTATTCTGTTCAGTGTCCCCCATTCATGCGCTCTCGTCTCTGACTCCCGGGGATTCTGGGTCATGCGTCCCACCATCCCGGCCCGGTCCGGTCTGGCCGTGTTCAGAATGTGGCATCGAATTGAGCCGAGATCATGTCGACCAGCCGAGTTCGTTGTAGTGTGACCATCGAGGTTGATTCACTCATTTCCCCGTTTTATTTGATTTTTTGAAAAACAACATGCGCGTAGTTTTACACTGTTGCAAAACCGCTTAAAACAACTTCAAACTCTTCTTCTGCTCCCGGAGGTTGTCCCAAATGGGCGCTCTCTGGATGGCTCTCTGGATGCCACGGTGGACCTTGCCACTCCTAGACAGAGGCGACACCATGAATTCCGCTGGTAACACGAACATTCGGGCTGATTATTGAAATAGATAGACAAAGAGGGAAAATAGAACATTTTTAACGATCCTATTGTTAGAAGGTGGTGGTTGCAATGGACAAAGGAGGTAAGTAATAGACTAACTAACGGCAACTCATTAGGGACCGTGCAATTTCCCCCTAAGCTTGGCACAAGCGGATCTAAGGGGGAGGGTGTAGGGGGCGTGAGCCGAAAAACAGGAAGAAGAAAAACAGAAGAAAAAAATAGGGAAGGAACGGAGGAATGAGACAGGAAAGACGCTTCCATTTGAACGTATTTCTGTCAAACGGAACTATGTGCTTTAGGCCATGAGCCCTGAGATCCATAAGAATACATGCATAACACTGCTCATGTCTTAATGCACATAGTTCCGTTTTGCAGAAATACGTCCTTTTGGTAATTATTCATAACGAAATTGACTCAAATTGCACATTAGATAATTCAAAAATTCGAAAATTTTTTGAAGGAGGCCCCCGGACCCCCGTTCGAGACGTCTGGGTCCACCTATGCTACCTAGTCTCTCTAAAAAACCACCCTTTTTAGGCAAAAGGATGGCTCCATTTTCCTTTTTTATGCTTTGTCTATAGCTCTATCTATCAAGTTCAATGATCAACTCGATTGAGGGATGACTTGGCAATAGCTTTAGAAGAGCTTTGCTGACCGCGGCCGGTGAGGAGCGCCAGCATCTGGCGCCTGGATCGGAACCCGAGTAGGTAGCTGATTTATCGTCGGTATTCGATATCGGCCGAACGGGCTTCGGACACCGGAGCAACACTTGTTTCACGCGCTAAATTATAACCACGTAGCGAGTCCGCGGTCCGGCACGTTGGTAGGCTGGCTCTGTCGACAGGTTACACAGCGCATAGCGCCGGCTCCGGCCGTTGCGGGACCAAGAGAGGTACATAAATCTCCAGCGTCGGTGGGCAGCTTTTCTACCGGTTATTGCGCTACGCCCCCGCCAGAAAGTGCTCCTGCGGTTTTTATCGAAAGCTCTCACGTTTACCAGCTGATAATTAGTTGGCGGTGGCTCGGACAGGTGGCGCCTGCCTCGACCACCCGCAACGCTTTTCGGTGCCCCCACTTTAGGTCATACGTGCAGGGTTGCCGACAATCTGGAAAACTGGGAGAATCAGGGAATTTGTGATGACCGGGAAAAGTCAGGGAAATTCTGGAAATTCGCGGAAAAAGTCAAAAAATTTCTCTCCCTTTTACTGATCATTAAAACACATCACTGATCTACAAGCTGTTTACCCTTTATGGTCTTCTTAAGACTTGGTGTCTTTTAACGAGTTACTGAATGCCTTTTTCCATTTGTTGGCCCATTAATTTTCTAAACAAGGAAATTTTGTCCAAGTTTAGCGGAAGTTGGGGTATTTAAAAAAAAAAGTAGATGGAGATTTTGTTCGAAGGTCAGGAAATGTCATGAGAATTGAACAATTTTGGAGTCTGGGAAATGTAAAAGAAAAGCCAGGGAATCTGAAGGTGAGAAACTATGGAAACTCTGTAACGGCACCTGTCGTGTCGTACAGTATTTTAGACCTAAAGGGCTACATTTTCTGGCCGCCACGCGCCCCAACCTACAAAGGGTACTCAGCACCCTCCAAGACCCGCTTTGCGGGTCCCCGTGAGTTATTTTTCCAACACCTAGAGCGAGGGGCTGCCGCCTTTCGTTAGCCGCAAAAATCATGAAAATCGGTCAAGCAGAACGCTAAAACGAGCTGTAAAAAAAGAGGAGAAAATATAGGGTTCAGAGAGCCTATAGGAATAGTAAATGATAAGGGGGAAAATTGATTGAGAAAAAATTGCGAGGGATCACGAGACGGAGTGAGAATTAATTCACTACGAAACAAGGTTTCTCGGAAGGATTTCATGTAGAACTTATTTTGAACGTATGCATGTAAAATACTAGACGAGGTGCAAACTGAAATCCTCCGTCAAAAGTTTTCGCTTCGAAGCTTTACGTAAAATATGTTTCACGTAGCGGGAAAGGTGGAAGATGTAGGCTAAAAAATTTATAATAAGAGTCAAACGTCGGAAGTACAAATGACATCATTTGCATACCATGCTGCTAATGCAGTGCAGTGCATGCTAGTTTTTCGATGAATGTTAGGGTACATGTTGATATCTCTTTTAGTACGTAGATGATTTTCGAACTTCTTGTTGCGTTGATTGCTCTTATGTTAAATTTTCAACAGGAAGCATCTACGTGTCGTTTTAATTCATACCTTTGTCTAGTGTGGCACATCTTGTTTTTTTTTAATTAATTAATTTATCGCACATACCTCATAACATTGAACACTAATTTTTTTCTTCTCCTTCTTCTTCTTTTTCCAATCACAACTATTCATCAGCCATTGCACAAGCAGAACCATGCTCACATAATTAATTTCACGATATTTTTGGCATTCTGTGTCTTGCATCCATCAACAAATACCTACAAGCGAGTAAGATTCGGAGCGAAAACTGGTAATTTTCAATATCCATGAATTTAAATATTCAAAATGTCGAGGTTATATCAGCGACTCATAATTAATGAACTGCACACGCCTGAGGCTTGCCTTTCTTTCTTTGATGTTTTTTGTTTGTCAAACCAGCCATACACATAATAAATTATCAATTTCACTGCCTGAATTCTTCAGTTCTTTGAAGTAGAGACTCTTCTTCTTATTAAACCGTTTCATTGCTGTGTCTCTTTTCGTTCCTCTCTCGCGCATTCAATTTTTCACTGATTGTGAGATATTCTTTTTTTCCTTTCTTCCACTTAAAATACCAATAAATACCGACAATTAACCCCCTGAAAAATTACAACACCAACTGCCTCACTTTATGAGCAATAATTTTGTACTAAATTGCAAGTTTGTCCTCAATATTGAAATATTAATGACTTTAATTGTAGTACTTCGTGCCCTCATTTCACCTTTCCTGCACCTTGAAAATGCCAATTTAAAAATTAATCGAGGCACTAAAGACCTGACCTAATCGACATTATCACTCTGTAATCGTTCCGATTATTTATCAGCAGCGTACATTTATCATTTTCTTCCCTTCGGTGAGTTAATAAATTTTTCTTGATACCCAAACAGTTCGTCGACGGAAATCTCAATTTATCATCTACAAAGAAGAAAGTATAGTTGCCCAATCGATGCGAAATATAATGAATACTTGTTATATGTCTAGACACAAAATGATTCAAATTTTCCCCGTCCTATTTCCCTCTCTTTTTCGCTCCGGTTTTGGACTTACTATCATTCTTTTTCTGTTTATGTCTCCTTTTCAATTAAAGTCAATAATTGGTTTTTTGGGGGTTTTTTTCGGTTTTTTTTTTATTTTTTTGTTAAGGTACCTTCAAATAAACACCTTTGCCAACGAACCACACCTAAATATGAAAATTTTGCACTCGTGACATCAAATTAATGATCGTAAGTTTTCGTGCTGACACCATGACTTGATTTTATGTTAACAGCGGACGATCATCAGTCTTTGCGTCACCATTCCGGCCACTTTCGACACAAGCAAGCCACCATCTGGGATCCCCACCCTCAATACGAATTTACCGCTTTCGGTAAAAAGTTTCAATTGGAACTCAGACACGACTCCAGCTTCGTGCTCCCAAACATTCAGGTACAGCTTCCACTTTTTTAATTTTCTCATTTATTATAATAATAAGTATAAAAGCGTCAAGTATAAAGAGCGAAGTTAAATTTTTGTCATTACGAGAGCATTGAATTTTTTTTGGAGGGGGTAATCTCGCGATTACAATCAAAGCCCCATCCTCCCTCAAACCCTAATCACCAACCAGCCCGAGGCAACCGTCATTTGAATCTATCAAATTCGGGTCGCATGGCTGGGCTTCGAACCCAGGACCTCCTGTTCGGTAAGTCGGTGCTACAAGAATTATAACTACCACACCACTGAAGTCTGATATGAGCGGAAAGTCTCACGGATCTCAACGAAACGAACTTTGTAGAAAGAAAATTTTCTGAAATTAGTTTTCTTTTTAAGTAAAATAAAATGAAGTTCGATAAATAAGCAGAGATATTGAAATGCCGCCATCGAGGTACAGATTTTGTTTCTTTTTTATTTACTTTCGCCATCAAGTCAGAACAAAAGATATAGAACAAATTATAGATAAATACCTTGTGCTTCAGCTCATGTCACAGGTCTATGGTGTACATCAACTATTCTCTTTTTAAGGCACGGTCCAGTCATATGCTCTAATTTGGCATTTGTTTACAAGCCTAATATCCGCTCTCCCTAAAAGCGTCGGAGCAACCCAACGTCTCTATTTGGTTCGAACCGCTTTAAGTGACTAATTAGGCTCACCTGAAAAGTCCATTTAATCTTGTCTAGGATGCGACACAACTAAATCACTCCTAGGACTCCTAGGAACATCGGCGTTTGACACTCTCAGATACCAACCGGGCATACATTAATTAAAAGCTACTGCCGCCGCCACTTGACGCAACACCCTCGAATGGAATCGATTCGATAATTCGATGTATCGATGGCTAAAGTCGAAAAATGTGCATACCTTTATCGCAACGTTTAAAAATCTCCAATGCTGTTTTATGTTTTGAAAAGTAACGTAAAATATTTCCGTAAAATTTTCCAAGAGTAGTTTTTGAAATGAAGAAAATTCATAGAAAATTGAGCCTCTTTAGTTTTCTTTTGAAAAACAAAACCCGTACGTTACAATCGGAAGTATATCCGTTTTTGGACTTTATGTATCAATATCTTCTTTTATTTTATGTTGAAATTTACAACTCAGTTTAAAAATGGTAAAATTAGTACAGGGGTCGATTTTAGCACATAAACTCTTTAAAAATTACATAACCAAAGCTAGAAATGATTTTTCCCTTGCTCGGTGAATAATACAAAAGTTTATTGTGATGTACGCGATTTTTCTCAGTAGACCGTCGATAGATCGAGTGCATACATCGACGCACATGCAATATACTCGACATAGCGTCGAACATTAGTTTTAAACCTTGACGTTCGTCTCTAATGTCCCACTCAAAAACGCTATCCGCGACAATCTTACCATCTTGCTTACCTAGGCCTGTCTAATTTCACGTCTTTTCTCAAAACCAGATTTTTTTAATAGGTTTTGTCCTCCTTGACTGATTAAGGCAAGTGAAAACGTCGCTGCCCAAAATTAAAACCAATTAATCAAATATTTTTAAAGCGCAGCAATGTCGTTTCGTAATTTGTAATTTCCGGAATTTGTAGGAAACTTTTGGTAGAAGAAAGAACAATAAATTGTTGTCACGTGCAATTAGTTTATTTTATTAACGACGCTATATTTACGCATGTTCGTCTCGGCTGTCCATTCTCCTATGATCGTATCGTCCAAGATAAATATTGAAGTAAATAACCTTAAAACAGGAACATACTAACCCCAGCAAGGAGAGTAAAATGGAAGTAACTGCTTTCTCCTTGTTCTTCTTATTCCTCCTTTTCCTCTTCTTCTTTCCCCTTCCTTTCTTCTCTTAATACTCCTATACTCCTATCTAACTACCGCAAAAACTATTCTCCATAAATATGAACGAATGAATATGTGATTTGCTTTTGTACATAGACATTTATTTATTTTACTTTATTTTATTTGTTTCTGAACCGTCACAAAAAATTGGTGGCGTTTTACAATTTTACCTTGGAACCATCTTTTTGACAAGCCTGAGAGACTCCAATTTTCTCTAATAATATTGTGAGCAGATAAATTCACAGAATTTTAGTAAAAAAAAAAAAAAAAAAAAGTATTTTATAAAATTGGAAAGAATTGAATTTATGACGATAAGGATCACAAATAAGGATTCGAACACAAATCTAAAACCCGTTGCTCAAGGCAATAAAAATAATGCAAGAAATGTTAGAGAGAAAAGAACGATTTCGGTCGGTTCATTTCACAACAAAATAGGATGCATAGGAGGAAGGATGCATTGTGGTCACCTAAACGTTACATTGCAGATGCGCAAATTTGCATCGTATGTCTATGTTTTGTCTGTCATTCGGTTGAAACCGCAGCTTTCGTAACCTTTATGGTGGATTGAAAAATTAAGCCGTCCAGCTTGACCTATGAGCAAAGTCGCAATTTGTCTTCCTCAAACCGTCTTATAGTTTAATTTGTCCATCTGTAAATAACATCGAGTCACTGTTGAGTGATGATGCCTCGTTGGTGTTTCATCGCGTAAGCCGCCTTAATCAATGTTGAAGGGAAATAAATTTATATCGCTTCAGCGCAGACCTAAACGTCCAACAGTCTTAACCAAACACCTGAGGCATTAATCAAATCTGGAATGATTCCCCATTTTTATGATGATTCTATGACTTTTATCTCGAAAGCTAACGTGTCTATCAAATGAATGAAAAGTGAGAGAATGTAAGAGATTGAATGGATAAAAGATTATTTGGCTCCTATTCTTGGCTCTCTGAAGTTACTCACTGTCATCTTGGATTTTTGGTCTCGCAATTTTAATATTTATTTTTCGCAACTATTTTTTTTTTTTTTTTGTCTCGCCATATTTATTTTCTTTTTTATTTTATTTTGTATCATTTTGTAAAAATAAGCTTCCGAATAAAGTTATGCGGGATCGTGCATAGCGGTCAAAGGGACCCCAATTCACAAGCTAACCTCAAATCTAGTAACTTTGAGTGGAAGTCATCAAGGGGGTCTGGGCGACCTTCTCAGCCTCGAAAGAATTCCGCGGGGAGTGGAGGAACCTCCTCATCTTTAAACAAAAGGGTCTGAGAGGTCCCCCCCCCACCCCAACCCCTCGCTCGGAAAATCTAATAAAATGGAGTCGTCTCAGGAGCAATTTTGAGTTTCCCTCGCCTAAAATTGATTGTGGTACAAATCAAAGATGCAAGATATAATGTCCCGCCTATATCTACCGAGTAAAATCCCCTAGATTTTATAGGGCACTAAGAGGGCACTAAGTAGATCTCTGGAAGGGGTACTCCCCGCGGCTCCTCAATTGGACATATTTCTGTCGAACGGAACTATGTGCACTAAGACATGAGCCCTGAGATCCATAAGAGTATCTGCATAAAAGGGCTCACGTCATAATGCACTTAGTTCCGTTTGACAGAAATACGTCCAATTTCGCCGATGATCATTGCAATGCTCCTTCCTGCACCGTGTGCCCTGCTTAGTTGTGAGTATTGCGACCATGTTCCGCCAGCGGGTAGGTGAGTCCTACCCTCATTAGGGCAGAACCGCGCAGCTTCAACTGAAGCCGAATGCAGATGTGCGGTTTTCGTGTAGGGCGTCAGAGTCGAGGACAACAATCAGAGGTTGATTGACGACTTGACGCAGTAATAGGTGGCGTGCTCAAGTACCACAGCTCCGCGATTTGGACCCAGCTTTGCCGGTCTCGGTGTGTGAAGAGAGTGCTTTCCACTTGCATCGCGTCCGGGAAACCGAGGAGCGTTGATCCCGACCGGGGCTGGGGCGCGGGCAGGTGTCAGCGACTCCAGGTCGGACTCAATCAGTTCAGTTGCCATGTTGACGTCATTCGACACTAAGTAATCAGGCTATTCTCAGCGAACTTCCGCCGTACTGGAAAGAAAGTCCAGACTCTTAATAATATTGACAAGAAAAAATACTTTTGATTCGATCAGATTTTACCTTGAATTGAGGAGCCGAGCTTCTTGATTTAGGCAGATTTCTATTTGATTCAAACAAAAAGTTTGATTGAATTAAGAGTATTTTTTCTTGTCAATGTTTTTAAGAGTCTGGACTATAGCTCCAAGTGACTTGTTTTCCCGTGCAGAGTTAAAGAAAAGGGTTGTTTCTTCAGTCTTAAAAATCACTGTGAGCGCATCGGGAAATGGAAAGTTTAGCAGGTGTCTGAAATTTAGTGAATTTTATGTTTAATATGAAAGTGCTGAGAGAACTGAGCACAAGAGTATCCTTCGTCTCTAAACTGACCAATTATTGGAAGAGATTTGAAAATAACCGAAACTGTTGAAATACATGTGTTTAAATGAGAAATTTTGTCAGATGACGTCACAAGGCGGCATACATTTTCTAATCTTTACATCTATTTTTATACAATTTTTCCGATTAGAAAAAAATTATGAAAAATACCGTGAACTCACCTCATCAAATACGTTCATACGAAGCAATACAATTTTCTCGAGTGAATACGCTCCGTATATTCATATTCCTTCCTCATCGGGAAATGACGTGCAATATTAATACCACTATTCGAAATTCTATGCGACCGTGTTGCATACCCTGCTAAATGAAGGAGAAGTAGCACGAGCTCATGCTTCTCCGATATGGCGATAATGAAAATTTACAAACGCCTAGAGTGGAAAGAAAATGATGTCGAAGTAATGGTATACTATGTGAATCAATCAAGTTGGGGATACGTTTCCTCGGTTTGATTTTTGGCATTCAGTGGCATGGCTAGGAATATTTACGCTCCTTTTTGCGCCCCTCGGTATGCTGCCCCTCTCCCGCCTATCGGGGGCGGCGGGGGTAATAGAATACTGCCGTGCTAAAGAAAAGCGCCGTTTGAGCCTTTAGACGTCGCCAGATTTCCTTCACTAAAAACCAAATTAACTGGAAAGTTTTTGAATATTTTTTCCTGAATTTTTCAGATAGTTTTGTTCGC